AAGGGTTTTTTCCCATGGATAAAGGGATATTCCCCATAAATAAAGGGATTTTTCCATAAATAAAAGTATTTTTCCTATAAATAAAGGGATTTTTCCCATGAATAAAGGAATTTTTCAATGTATGAAGGGATTTTCCCAATGGATAAATGGAATTTCCCCAATGGATAAATGGGGTTTTCCCAATGGATAAAGGGATTTTTTTTCCCATAAATAAAAGGATTTTTCCTATAAATAAAGGGATTTTCCCCATAAATAAAGGGATTTTTCCCATGAATAAAGGAATTTTTCAATGTATGAAGGGATTTTCCCAATGGATAAATGGAATTTCCCCAATGGATAAATGGGGTTTTCCCAATGGATAAAGGGTTCTGACCCGGATCCCCCCGAGCTTTCCCATGACTAAAGGGTTTTTTCCCATGGATAAATGGGATTTTCCCAATGGATAAATAGAATTTTCCCAATGGATAAATGGATTTTCCCAATGGAAAAAGGGAATTTTCCAACAAATAAAGGGATTTTTCCATGAATAAAGGCTTTTTCCCATGGATAAAGGGATTTTTCCAATTAATAAAGGGATTTTCCCAATGGATAAATGTGTTTTCCCCATAAATAAAGGGATTTTCCCCATAAATAAAGGGATTTTTCCCATGGATAAAGGGATTTTCCCCATAAATAAAGGGATTTTCCCATAAATAAAAGGATTTTTCCCATAAATAAAGGGATTTTCCCATAAATAAAAGGATTTTCCCATTAATAAAGGGATTTTCCCAATGGATAAAGGGATTTTCCCCATAAATAAAGGGATTTTCCCATAAATAAAAGGATTTTTCCCATAAATAAAGGGATTTTCCCATAAATAAAAGGATTTTCCCATTAATAAAGGGATTTTCCCAATGGATAAAGGGATTTTCCCCATAAATAAAGGGATTTTCCCCTAAATAAAAGGATTTATGCTATAAATAAAGGGATTTTCCCATAAATAAAGGCTTTTTCCCACGGATGGATAAATGGATATTCCCATGGATAAAGTGGGGTTGGGGTCCCACCCCGCAGGACTTGGGGGCAAATCCCAGAAATCCTTCCTTGGCAGGCTCGGCCGCGGGGCCCGGGGGGGTGAGGGAGCCGGGGGACCCCGGAGGGGCTGGGGGGGCTCAGGGCCCCTCCCTGATCCAAATCCTCGTGATCCGGATCCCAGGGGAGGCTCAGGGGGGACCCCCAGATCCAGATCCCCCGATCCAAATCCTCGTGATCCAGACCCCAGGGCAGGTGGGACCCCCTGACCCGGATCCCCCCGAGCCAGATGTGAGACCCAGATCCCCCTGATCCAGAACCCAGATCCAAATCCTCGTGATCCAGACCCCAGGGCAGGTGGGACCCCCTGACCCGGATCCCCCCGAGCCAAATGTGAGACCCAGATCCCCCTGATCCAGAACCCAGATCCAAATCCTCGTGATCCAGACCCCAGGGCAGGTGGGACCCCCTGACCCGGATCCCCCCGAGCCAAATGTGAGACCCAGATCCCCCTGATCCAGAACCCAGATCCAAATCCTCGTGATCCAGACCCCAGGGCAGGTGGGACCCCCTGACCCGGATCCCCCCGAGCCAAATGTGAGACCCAGATCCCCCTGATCCAGAACCCAGATCCAAATCCTCGTGATCCAGACCCCAGGGCAGGTGGGACCCCCTGACCCGGATCCCCCCGAGCCAAATGTGAGACCCAGATCCCCCTGATCCAGAACCCAGATCCAAATCCTCGTGATCCAGACCCCAGGGCAGGTGGGACCCCCTGACCCGGATCCCCCCGAGCCAAATGTGAGACCCAGATCCCCCTGATCCAGAACCCAGATCCAAATCCTCGTGATCCAGACCCCAGGGCAGGTGGGACCCCCTGACCCGGATCCCCCCGAGCCAAATGTGAGACCCAGATCCCCCTGATCCAGAACCCAGATCCAAATCCTCGTGATCCAGACCCCAGGGCAGGTGGGACCCCCTGACCCGGATCCCCCCGAGCCAAATGTGAGACCCAGATCCCCCTGATCCAGAACCCAGATCCAAATCCTCGTGATCCAGACCCCAGGGCAGGTGGGACCCCCTGACCCGGATCCCCCCGAGCCAAATGTGAGACCCAGATCCCCCTGATCCAGAACCCAGATCCAAATCCTCGTGATCCAGACCCCAGGGCAGGTGGGACCCCCTGACCCGGATCCCCCCGAGCCAAATGTGAGACCCAGATCCCCCTGATCCAGAACCCAGATCCAAATCCTCGTGATCCAGACCCCAGGGCAGGTGGGACCCCCTGACCCGGATCCCCCCGAGCCAAATGTGAGACCCAGATCCCCCTGATCCAGAACCCAGATCCAAATCCTCGTGATCCAGACCCCAGGGCAGGTGGGACCCCCTGACCCGGATCCCCCCGAGCCAAATGTGAGACCCAGATCCCCCTGATCCAGAACCCAGATCCAAATCCTCGTGATCCAGACCCCAGGGCAGGTGGGACCCCCTGACCCGGATCCCCCCGAGCCAAATGTGAGACCCAGATCCCCCTGATCCAAATCCCAGATCCCAACGGAGGCTCAGGTGGGATCCCAGATTCATACCCCAGATCCAGATCCCCATGATCAAAATCCCAGATCCAAATCCTCGTCATCCAGATCCCAGGGGAGGTGGGACCCCCCTGACCCGGATCCCCCCGAGCCAAATGTGAGACCCAGATCCCCCTGATCCAGAACCCAGATCCAAATCCTTGTGATCCAGATCCCAGATCCCAGGGAGGCTCAGGTGGGATCCCAGATTCATATCCCAGATCCAGATCCCCATGATCAAAATCCCAGATCCAAATCCTCGTCATCCAGATCCCAGGGGAGGTGGGACCCCCCTGACCCGGATCCCCCCGAGCCAAATGTGAGACCCAGATCCCCCTGATCCAGATCTCCCAGATCCAAATCCTTGTGATCCAGATCCCAGATCCCAAGGGAGGTGCAGGTGGAACCCCCAGATCCAGACCCCCAAGGAAGGTGCAAGTGGGATCCCTCTGATCCAGACGCCAGGGGAGGCTCAGGTGGGACCCCTGATCCCGATCCCAGGGGAGGAGGGACCCCCCCGATCCAGATCCCAGATCCAGATCCCCCTGATCCAAATCCATGATCCCGATCCATGATCCGGATCCCCCTGATCCATCTCCCAGATCCAAATCCTCGTGATCCAGATCCCAGATCCAGATCCCCCTGATCCAAATCCATGATCCCGATCCATGATCCGGATCCCCCTGATCCATCTCCCAGATCCAAATCCTCGTGATCCAGATCCCAGATCCCAAGGGAGGCTCAGGTGGGACCCCCAGATCCAGACCCCAGGGTAGGTGGGACTCCCTGATCCAGATCCCCCTGAGCCGGATCCTGGATCCAAATCCTCATGATCCAGATCCAGATCCCAAGGGAGGTGCAGGTGGGACCCCCAGACCCAGATCCCAAGGGAGGTGAAGGTGGGATCCCCCTGATCCCCAGGGAGGTGCAGGTGGGACCCCCTGCTCCCAATCCCAGATCCCAAGGGAGGTCCATGTGCTCCAGACCCCCTTAGGACAAGAGCGGGACCCCCAGCTCCAGAATTCCCTTGGAATTCCCTTCCCGTGGAGGCGCAGCTGGGCCCTGCCAGCCTCAGGCCGCGGGCTCACCTGGCCCAGGTGAGATCCCTGTTCTGGATCCCCAGGGAGGTGAAGGGGGGATCCCCTGATCCCAACCCCAGATCCCAAGGGAGGTGCAGGTGGGATCCCAAGGGAGATCCCCCAGATCCAGACCCAGATCCCCAGGGAGGCGCAGGTGGAACCCCCTGATCCAAATCCCAGATCCCAGGAGAGGCTCAGAGGGGATCCCCCTGCTCTGGATCCCCAGGGAGGTGCAGGTGGAACCCCCAGACCCGTATCCCGAGGGAGGTGCAGGCAGGACCCCCAGATCCAGACCCAGATCCCCAGGGAGGTGCAGGTGGGGATCCCATGTCCAGATCCCAAAGGAGATCCCCCAGACCCAGATCCCAGGGGAGGTGCAGGTAAGATCCCTGATCCAGATCCAGATCCCTGGGGAGGTGCAAGTGGGACCCCCAGACCCAGAACCCCAAGGGAGGTGCAGGTGGAACCCCCATATCCAGATCCCAAAGGAGATCCCCCAGACCCAGATCCCAGTAGATCCCCCCAATCCCAATCCCAGATCCCAAGGGAGGTGCAGGCGGGACCCCCAGATCCAGACCCAGATCCCAAGGGAGGTGCAGGTGGGATCCCCAAATCCAGATCCCAAGGAGGTGCGGGTGGGATCCCCCAGGAAAAGCAGAGCTGGAGCAGACAGAGAGCAAAGCCAAACTCTTGAAACACACGGACTCTGGGTGGGGGGCAGGGGGGCAGTTCCTGGGGGCGGGATTTGGGATTTTGCCCCGGGCAGGGCCGGGCAGGACGGATGGAGCCCGTCAGGAGCCCGGGCAGGCGGGACGGGGATCAGTGCAGCCGAGGGCAGGAGCCATAAAGTGCAGCAAAGCTTCCGGAGCTCCCGGCGCGGCTCCGGCGGCGGCTCCGGAGCTCCGGGATTCCTGGGGGGCTCCAGTGTCCGGGGGGGGGACATGGGGACACCGTGACACCGGGGGGGACACGGCTCAGGAAGGACCAGCGGCGCCGGGACAGGGCCGGGTCCTCTCCCGGTTCTGTTCCTGGCTCCACGCCCGGTTCCTTTGCTGGTTTGGTTGCCAGTCCTGGTTCCGTTCCTGGTTCCTTTCCTGGTCCAGTTCTAGTGCTGGTTCCGTTCCCAGTCCTGGTTCGACTCCTGGTTCCTTTCCCAGTGCTGGTTCCATTCCCAGTTCCATTCCTGGTTCCATTCCCAGTTCCATTCCTGGTTCCTTTCCCAGTGCCAGTTCCATTCCTGTTTCCATTCCCAGTTCCTTTCCCAGTCGTGATTCCATTCCTGGTTCCGTTCCCAGTCCCGGTTCCGTTCCCAGTGCTGGTTCCATTCCCAGTTCCATTCCTGGTTCCACTCCCAGTTCTGTTTCCATTCCCAGTTCCTTTCCTGGTACTGGTTCCGTTCCCAGTGCTGGTTACGGTCCTGGTTGTGTTCCCAGTTCTGGTTCCATTCCCAGTTCTGTTCCCAGTTCTGGTTCCATTCCCAGTCCCGGTTCCGGTCCTGGTTCCGTTCCCAGTCCTGGTTCTGGTCCTGGTTCCATTCCCAGCCCCGTTCCCAGTCCTGGTTCCATTCCCAGTCCCAGTTCTGGTCCTGGTTCTGTTCCCAGTCCTGGTTCTGTTCTCAGTGCTGGTTCCATTCCCAGTTCCATTCCCAGTGCCAATTCTGTTCCTGGTTCCGTTCCCATTCCCGGTTCCGTTCCCGGTGCTGGTTTGGTTCCCAGTCCTGGTTCTCGTCCCGGTTCCAGTCCCGGTGCTGGTGTGCTTCCCAGTCCCGGTTCCGTTCCCAGTCCCCGTTCCGGTCCTGGTTCCGTTCCCGGTCCCGTTCCCAGTGCTGGTTTCTTTCCCAGTCCATTTCCAGTCCCATTGCTGGTTCTGTTCCCGTTGCCGGTTCCGTTCCCGGTTTCTCGGATCCAGCCGGGAATCTCACATGCACATCACCTGTGGCCTGGAACGAGGACAGGGAGCGTCACCTGCCTCACCTGTGGCCACGCCCCCTGCCCCGCCCTGCCCCGCCCACCTGTCCTCCTCGATGCCGCCGCCCTCGGGGTCGCCGCTGTCGCCCTTCTCGGTGTCCCCCTCGCCCAGGTCCATGTCCAGCTCGTTCCCGGTGTCCGGGCGGGTGTAGGCGTAGCCACTGTGGGAAGGGCCAGAATTCCAGGGAATCCCCTCGGGAATGGCCCCTGGAATTCCGGGAATCCCCTTGGGAATGGAACCTGGAATTCTGGGGAATCCTCTCAGGAATGGCTCCTGGAATTCTGAGGAATTCCCTCGGGAACGGCCCCTGGAATTCCGGGAATGCCCTCGGGAATGGCTCCTGGAATTCTGGGGAATCCCCTCGGGAACGGCTCCTGGAATTCCGGGAATCCCCTGGGGAATGGTCCCTGGAATTCTGAGGAATTCCCTCGGGAATGGCTCCTGGAATTCCAGGAATCCCCTTGGGAATGGAACCTGGAATTCTGGGGAATCCTCTCAGGAATGGCTCCTGGAATTCCGGGAATCCCTTGGGGAATGGTCCCTGGAATTCTGAGGAATTCCCTCGGGAATGGCCCCTGGAATTCTGAGGAATGCCCTCGGGAATGGCTTCTGGAATTCCTCTCAGGAATAGCCCCTGGAATTCTGAGGAATTCCGAGGAATTCCCTCGGGAATGGCTTCTGGAATTCCTCTCAGGAATAGCCCCTGGAATTCTGAGGAATTCCCTCAGGAATGGCTCCTGGAATTCAGGGAATCCTCTTGGGAATGGCCCCTCAAACTCTGGGGAATCCCCTGGGGAATGACCCCGGAATTCAGGGAATCCCCTCGGGAATGGCCCCTGGAATTCCGGGAATCCCCTTGGGAATGGAACCTGGAATGCCTCAAGGAATTCCCTCGGGAACGGCCCCTGGAATTCCGGGAATGCCCTCGGGAATGGCTCCTGGAATTCTGGGGAATCCCCTCGGGAACGGCTCCTGGAATTCCGGGAATCCCCTGGGGAATGGTCCCTGGAATTCTGAGGAATTCCCTCGGGAACGGCCCCTGGAATTCCGGGAATGCCCTCGGGAATGGCTCTGGAGTCACGGGAATGGGAAAGTGGGAAAGGCACGGGAATGGGACAAGTGGGGAAGGCATGGGGCTGAGAAAAGTGGGGAGTCACGGGACTGGGAAGAGTGGGGAAAGTCAAGGGAATGGGGACAGGGAAAGGCACGGGAATGGGACAAGTGGGAATGACATGGGAATGGGAAAAGTGGGGAAGGCACGGGAATGGGAACGGGACAAGCGGGGAGTCACGGGACTGGGAAGACTGGGGAAGGCTCAGGAATGGGGAAAGTGGGAAAGGCACGGGAATGGGGACAGGGAAAGGCACGGGAGTGGGAAAAGTGGGAAAGGCACGGGAATGGGGACAGGGAAAGGCACGGGAGTGGGAAAAGTGGGAAAGGCACGGGAATGGGGACAGGGAAAGGCACGGGAGTGGGAAAAGTGGGAAAGGCACGGGAATGGGGACAGGGAAAGGCACGGGAGTGGGAAAAGTGGGAAAGGCACGGGAATGGGGACAGGGAAAGGCACGGGAGTGGGAAAAGTGGGAAAGGCACGGGAATGGGGACAGGGAAAGGCACGGGAGTGGGACAAGTGGGAATGACATGGGAATGGGAAAAGTGGGGAAGGCACGGGAATGGGAACGGGACAAGCGGGGAGTCACGGGACTGGGAAGACTGGGGAAGGCTCAGGAATGGGGAAAGTGGGAAAGGCACGGGAATGGGGACAGGGAAAGGCACGGGAGTGGGAAAAGTGGGAAAGGCACGGGAATGGGGACAGGGAAAGGCACGGGAGTGGGAAAAGTGGGAAAGGCACGGGAATGGGGACAGGGAAAGGCACGGGAGTGGGAAAAGTGGGAAAGGCACGGGAATGGGGACAGGGAAAGGCACGGGAGTGGGAAAAGTGGGAAAGGCACGGGAATGGGGACAGGGAAAGGCACGGGAGTGGGAAAAGTGGGAAAGGCACGGGAATGGGGACAGGGAAAGGCACGGGAGTGGGAAAAGTGGGAAAGGCACGGGAATGGGGACAGGGAAAGGCACGGGAGTGGGAAAAGTGGGAAAGGCACGGGAATGGGGACAGGGAAAGGCACGGGAGTGGGAAAAGTGGGAAAGGCACGGGAATGGGGACAGGGAAAGGCACGGGAGTGGGAAAAGTGGGAAAGGCACGGGAATGGGGACAGGGAAAGGCACGGGAGTGGGAAAAGTGGGAAAGGCACGGGAATGGGGACAGGGAAAGGCACGGGAGTGGGAAAAGTGGGAAAGGCACGGGAATGGGGACAGGGAAAGGCACGGGAGTGGGAAAAGTGGGAAAGGCACGGGAATGGGGACAGGGAAAGGCACGGGAGTGGGAAAAGTGGGAAAGGCACGGGAATGGGGACAGGGAAAGGCACGGGAGTGGGAAAAGTGGGAAAGGCACAATGGAACCTGGAATGCCTCAAGGAATTCCCTCGGGAACGGCCCCTGGAATTCCGGGAATGCCCTCGGGAATGGCTTCTGGAATTCCTCTCAGGAATAGCCCCTGGAATTCTGAGGAATGCCCTCGGGAATGGCTTCTGGAATTCCTCTCAGGAATAGCCCCTGGAATTCTGAGGAATTCCGAGGAATTCCCTCGGGAATGGCTTCTGGAATTCCTCTCAGGAATAGCCCCTGGAATTCTGAGGAATTCCCTCAGGAATGGCTCCTGGAATTCAGGGAATCCTCTTGGGAATGGCCCCTCAAACTCTGGGGAATCCCCTCGGGAATGGCCCCTGGAATTCCGGGAATGCCCTCGGGAATGGCTCCTGGAATTCCAGGAATCCCCTTGGGAATGGAACCTGGAATTCTGGGGAATCCTCTCAGGAATGGCTCCTGGAATTCTGAGGAATTCCCTCGGGAATGGCTCCTGGAATTCTGAGGAATTCCCTCGGGAATGGCTCCCGGAATTCTGGGGAACCCCTGGGAATGCCCTGGCATTCAGGGGAATCCCTCGGGAGCAGCCCTGGAATTCCGGGCGCGGCCCTGACCTGATGGAGCGGCAGGTGAAGAAGACGATCCTCTTCAGCCTCTTGTTGTAGAAGAAGTAATTGAAGGACCAGAGGCTGCCGTCCTCGCCGAAGGGATCCGAGTCCAGGTCGGGGTTGTAGCTGGGAACGGGACACGCGCGAAGTGTCACGGGAATGGGAAGAGTGGGAATGGCACGGGAATGGGGAAAGCAGGGAGTCATGGGACAGGGAAAGTGGGAATGACATGGGAATGGGGACAGGGAAAGGCACGGGACTGGGAAAGTGGGAATGGCACGGGAATGGGGAAAGTGGGAATGGCACGGGAATGGGGACAGGGAAAGGCACGGGAATGGGAAAGTGGGAATGGCACGGGAATGGGGACAGGGAAAGGCACGGGAATGGGAAGAGTGGGGAAGGCACGGGAATGGGACACGCAGGGAGGCACAGGACTGGGAAAGTGGGAATGGCATGGGAATGGGAATGGGAAGAGTGGGGAGTCACAGGACTGGGAAAGTGGGAAAGGCACGGGAATGGGGACAGGAAAAATGGGAAATGCCTGAGAATGGGGACAGGGAAAGCGGGAAAGGCTCAGCATTGGGGACAGGAAACGTGGGAAAGGCCTGGATGGGGGACAGGGACAGGAAAAGTGGGGACAGGGACAGGGAACGGGGATGAAATCCTCATGGACCCCGAGAACAGGCTGCAGTTCACAGCATTCACCACCTGGAACAGGGACACAGAATGGGGACAGGGGACACAGAATGGGGACAAAATTGGGGACAAGAACACAGAATGGGGATGGGGGACACGGAATGGGGACAAAATCCTCACGCACGGCTGAGAAAAGGCTGCAGTTCACAGCATTCATCACCTGCAACACGGCAACGGGATGTGGGAATGGGGACAGGGACGGGGACATGGGGACAGGGACAGGGACATGGGATCAGGGATGGGGGACACAGGATCAGGGACAAGGGACATGGGAACAGGGACAGGGGACACAGGAACACGGAACACAGGAATGGGGACAAGGGACACGGGAACGGGGCTGGCCCGGACACCAGGGACACGGGAATGGGAATGGGGCTGGCCCTGGAACAGGAACAGGGACGAGGGACACAGAACAGGGACGGGGGACATAGGAATGGGAATGGGGGACATGGGAACGGGGATGAGGGACACGGAATGAGGACAAGGGACACGGGAATGGGGGACATGGGAACAGGGCTGGCCCGGGTAGCAGGGACACAGGAAAGGGAATGGAGGACACAGGAACAGGAATGTGGGACATGAAATGGGGATATGGGAATGGGAATGGGGGGATACGGAGAAGCAATCCCTGCCTCTGGGAGGAGGGAAGGGATGGAAAGGGCTCCCAGAGAAGCTGCGGCTGTCCCATCCCTGGCCGTGCCCAAAGCCAGCTTGGGTGAGTTTGGAGTCTGAAGGTTCCTCCTGCTCCAAGCCCACCCTGCTCCAGCTCCCCCAGGTGAGTCCAGGTGACCCCACCCATTCCAGGCTCTGTGCCCACCTGTGGCTGGGCTTACAGGTGAACTCGTGGGTCTCCCAGCCCCATCCCAGTGCCCCCAGTCCCCCCAGTCCCATCCCAGTGCCCCCAGTCCCTCCCAGTACATACCCAGTTGTGGCTGGGCTCACAGGTGGACTCGTGGGTCCCCCAGTCCCATCCCAGTGCCCCCAGTCCCCCCAGTACATACCCGGTTGAGGCTAGGCTCATGGCTGAACTTGTGCTTCTCCCAGTCCCCCCCAGTCCCATCCCAGTCCCCCCCAGTCCCCCCAGTCCCATCCCAGTGCGTACCCAGTTGAGGCTGGGCTCGCGGCTGAACTCGTGGCTCTCCCAGCCCCATGAGCAGGCCCTCCCCCTGCCTGGGGACACAACGGGTGACAACCGTGTCACCAGTGCCACCACAGAGACACCGTGTCACTGAGCAGGCCCTCCCCCTGCCTGGGGACACAACAGTGTCACCAGTGTCACCACAGGGACACCGTGTCACTCACAGGGACACCGTGTCGCTCAGCGGGCCCTCCCCCTGCCTGGGGACACAACGGGTGACAACCGTGTCACCAGGGGCACCACAGGGACACCGTGTCACTGAGCAGGCCCTCCCCCTGCCTGGGGACACAACAGGTGACAACCGTGTCACCAGTGCCACCACAGGGACACCACAGGGACCCCGTATCACTGAGCGGGCTCTCCCCCTGCCTGGGGTGACAACAGGGTCACCAGTGTCACCAGGGTCACCAGTGCCACCACAGGGACACCGTGTCACTCACAGAGACACCGTGTCACTCACAGGGCCCTCCCCCTGCCTGGGGACACAACGGGTGACAACCGTGTCACCAGGGGCACCAGAGGGACACCACAGGGACCCCGTATCACTGAGCGGGCTCTCCCCCTGCCTGGGGACAAACTGGGGTCACCAGTGTCACTGGGGTCACCAGTGCCACCCCAGGGACACCGTGTCACTCACAGGGCCCTCCCCCTGCCTGGGGATGTCACCAGTGCCACCAGTGCCACTCCCAGAGCTGATCCCAGAGATCAAGAGCTGATCCTGGGGCTGCTCCCAGTGCCCGTCCCGCAATCCCAGTGCCCTCAGCCCCAGTTTCCCAGTGCCCACATTCCCAGTTCCCAGTTTCCCAGTGCCCTCAGCCCCAGTTTCCCAGTGCCCAGTTTCCCAGTTTCCCAGTTCCCAGTTTCCCAGTGCCCCGGTGCTCAGTTTCCCAGTGCCCACAGTCCCGGTTTCCCAGTTCCCAGTTTCCCAGTGCCCACATTCCCAGTTCCCAGTTTCCCAGTGCCCTGGTGCCCACAATCCTGGTTTCCCAGTTTCCCAGTTTCCCTGCTCCCAGTTTCCCAGTCCTCCAGTCCCCAGTTCCAGTTACCAATCTCCAGTCCCCAGCTTCCCAGTCCCCAGTTCCCACAATCCCAGTCCCCAGTTCCCAGTTTCCCACTCCCCCAGTCCCCAGTTCCCGTGCCCTAAAAAATCCCAGTTTCCCAGTTCCCCGTGCCCACAATCCCAGTTTCCCCAGTCTCCATGCCCACAATCCCAGTTTCCCCAGTTTCCACAATCCCAGTGCCCCCAGTCTCCCCAGTTTCCCTGGTGCCCATGCCCACAACCCCAGTTTCCCCAGTCTCCATGCCTACAATCCCAGTTTCCCAGTTCCCTGTGCCCACAATCCCAGTTTCCCCAGTTCCCCGTGCCCACAGTCCCAGTTTCCCCAGTCACCACAATCCCAGTGTCCCCAACCTCCCCAGTGCCAGTCCCCACAGTCCCAGTGTTCCCAGTTCCCCCAGTTCCCCCAGCGCCCCCAGTTTCCCCAGTGCTCCCAGTGTCCCCAGTGCTCCCAGTGCCATCCCCATGTTCCCAGTGCTCCCAATGTTCCCAGTGTTCTCAGTGCCATCCCAGTGTCCCCAGTGCCATCCCAGTGTTCCCAGTGCCATCCCCAGTGCCATCCCAGTGCTCCCAGTGCCATCCCCAGTGCCATCCCCAGTGCCCCCAGTGCCCCCAGTGCCATCCCAGTGCTCCCAGTGCCATCCCGGGAAATGCAGGAATGGGAACAGAAATGGGAAAAGAGGGGAAATGCAGAAAGGGGAATGGGAATGGGAAATGGGGAAAAGGCAGAGAGAGGAACGGGAAAGGGGAAACGCAGGAACGGGAATGGGAACGGGAATGGGAATGGGAATGGGAAATGGGGAAAAAGCAGAGAGAGGAATGGGAAAGGGGAAATGCAGGAATGGGAATGGGAACGGGAATGGGAGAGGGGAAATGGGAAATGGGAAAAAGGCAGAGAGAGGAATGGGAAAGGGGAAATGCAGGAACAGGAATGGGAAAGGAAAACAGGAAAATGCAGAAATGGGAATGGAAAAAGGGAAAGAGAAAGGGGAAATGCAGGAATGGGAACAGAAATGGGAAAAGAGGGGAAATGCAGAAAGGGGAATGGGAACGGGTATGGGAAATGGGGAAAAGGCAGGATGAGAATGGGAAAGGGGAATGGGAGAGGGGAGGGAGGGAATGGGAAAATGGGAAAAAAGGAAAATGGGAACGGGGAAGGGGAAAGAGAAAAGGGGAAATGCAGGAATGGGAATGGGGAAAGGAAAAGAGAGAAAAGGGAATGGGAAAAGGAGAAAATACAGAAAAGGGAATGGGAAATGGGAATGGGGAAGGGGAAAACGGAGAAATGGGAATGGGAATGGGGAAAGAGAGAAATGGGAATGGGAAAAGGGAGAAATGGGAATGGGAAATGGGAAAGAAAAAGGGGAAATGCAGGAATGGGAATGGGGAAAGGAAAAGAGAGAAGTGGGAATGGGGAAAGGAAAAAATACAGAAAAAGAAATGGGAAATGGGAATGGGAAAAGGAAAAGAGAGAAATGGGAATGGGAAAGGGGAAAAGAAAAATGGGAATAGAAAAAGAGAGAAATGGGAATGGGAAAAGAGAGAAATGGGAATGGGAAAGAAGAAAAGAGAGAAATGGGAATGGGAAAAAAAGGGAAGTGCAAAAACGGGAATGGGAATGGGAAAGGGGGAAAAAGGCAGAAATGGGAATGGGAATGGGAAAGGGGAAAGAAAGAAATGGGAGAGAGAAAAGGAAAGGGGAAAAGAGAGAAATAGGAATGGAAAAGGGAATGGGGAAAAAGGGAAATGCAAAAACGGGAATGGGAATGGGAAAGGGGAAAAGGCAGAGAGAGGAATGGAAAAGGGGAAAAGGCAGGAAGGGGAATGGGAAAGGGAAAAGACAAAAGGGAGACAATCCAAAAAGGGAAAAGAAAACGAAAATGAAAAACAGGAAATACAAAAAAGGGAATGGGGAAGGGAAAAGGGGAAATGGGAAGGAGAAAAACGGGAAAGGAAAAGGGAAAGAAGAAAAGCAAAAGAAAGAGAACAGGAAAGGAAGAGGAAGAAGCGCAGGAGGAGGAAGAGCAGCTCCAAGCGGAGCTGGCAGCGGCACCGCCAAGGGGGACACGCTGACAGGGGAGGGGGAGAGGCACGGGGGGAGGAAGAGGAAAAAGAGGAGGAAGAAAAGGAGGAAAAGGAGAAAAAAAGCGGGAAAAGACCGCGGAAAACTCTGCCCATCCCGGCGTGCCCCGCGCGCTGGACTACAGCTCCCGGCGTGCCCCGCGCGGCGCATAGGGGAGACTCATTGGTGGACTACAGCTCCCGGCGTGCCCCGCGCGGCGCACAGCCGCCACCCATTGGCGGACTACGGCTCCCGGCGTGCCCCGCGCGGGCG